ACAAAAAAATATCGGAATAATTTTCTATCTCACTGTATGTACTTGGAAATAACCTTATACAACGCTGAATACGCTACAAGGATGTTACTGCGCGTTATGCATGGGTCAACGTCATTTCATTTTGTAAATTAGACTGAGAAATTTGTAATAGTGAATCGGACACACCAAAACAACTCGGTTTGTACAGCAGGATGTCGTGCTCGAGTCTGTCAACAGCCTCAGTGAAGTCGATATAGATAACATCGACTTGTTTTACTTGTCAAGTTTTTCACTAATAAATTGAGTTCTCTGAACAAAGTTAGTAACAGTAACTGTGCCTTCTACGAAGCGGTGTTGCTCCCAAGACAACAACCCACACAAGGAGTCGTATAAGAAACAGTGTAATAAAATTTCAAACATTTTAGAGGAGTTGCAAATAATAGAAATTGGTCTGCAATTACCTAATTCGGTCTTACTGCCCTTATAATATTTTAGTGTTTACTATCTCCAGCTTAGTGTTGACCCATTCTTTCTAACTCACCCTGTATATAAGCACGTTAGGATTTGTCGTGGATGTTACAAAATGACATTTACCTGGTTTTATGTAAGACATCAACAGTTTGGTCATTGTAAGTAAGATGGAAGCAATAGAAGCGCCGCAATTCTCTTGACATTGATAAAGGACCAAACATTTCTTGAAATATTTTGTATTCTGCTACCGAATAAGTAACTTCAGACAATATTTTAACATGAACAGTAGGGTATTTATTATAGTCCAGACGGTATGTTTCAAAGAATCCATATTTGGGTGAATCGTATATCCACGGAGATTTTTGGCTTTTTGGCTTTAAAATGTCACTAGAAATGAAAATTTTTCTATGCGTATAAAAAAAACGTGGTCTTAACTTTTGGCGGCACAATATGTTAAAAAAATTCGAAAAATATATTTTTCTTCCTATTTAATTTTGTATCTTTTCAAGAGTTGATTTTAGGCGAAATTGGAAAAAATATGTTTGTTTAAATTTTACAAAATATGACTAATTATAAACCGAATGAATCATGATCATTATTGTAAAAATCGAAAAAATCGCCAAATATGGGGCTAAAAAGCATTTTTTTTAGGGAATTTTTTTGGGGTCTTTAAGTTGGATATAGGACCTTCATACTTGGTTCAAGAAAAGTTCATGTTATGTAGAATCATCACACCAAATTTCATCAAAATCGGATCTATAGATTTTGCATAATAATTTTGCAATCCAGATTTTGAAAAAAAATTTGTAAATTTTCAAAATTTTGCATAGCAAAAACCAAGGCCCTTAGATACTTGAAAATTTAATCACATATAGAAGGGCTCTCAAGCTTTCAAACGCTTTTTGAAAAATTCGAATCCGTCAATTAGGAGAGTTCTGGCGTTGTTTAAACATTGGTCGAATTTTTGTACTATAATTTTGCATTTTTGTAATATAATGAGTTAATTTCTCATTTGCTTATATTTTAAACAGTAAGTAATATTTGAATTATACTTTAATCACAAAAGAAATGGCGATTTAATTAATAATTAATTAATTAATTAATTACTAATTTTCGACATATTTCGAAAATAATTGTTGTTTAAACAATTTTAGAATATTTAAATAAATTTGTTTTTGATCTTTGATAAACAGTATATAAGTTTATGCACTTACCTTTGATACATTAAAAAAATAAAGTTGATAATTAAAGGAAGTTTTCGAAAAATTAGCCCGGATATCGCAGTATATTTAGTGTAAATCACGGTTAACTTTGATCGGCGATAACTACGTAACTAATCGATCTGTTTTTTTTTAAAGAAGCGTCTTTCCAATAACTTTGAAAACCTGCTTCAAAAAATTTGATTTGATTGAATATTCACAAAGTTATTCTAATTGTTTATAAGTACAAAAATTCAACCAATGTTTAAACAAGCGCCAGAACTATCCTAATTGACGGATTCGAATTTTTCAAAAAGCGTTTGAAAGCTTGAGAACCCTTCTATATGCGATCAAGAGTCTAAGGGCCTTGGTTTTTGCTGTGCAAAATTTTGAAAGTTTGCAATTTTTTTCAAAATCTGGATTGCTAAATTATTATGCAAAATCTATAGAACCGATTTTGATGAAATTTGGTGTGATGATTCTACCCAACATGAAGTTTTCTTGAGCCAAGTATGAAGGTCCTATACCCAACTTAAAGACCCCAAACCAATTCCCTAAAAAGTAATGTTTTTTAACCCCATTTTTGGCGATTTTTTCGATTTTTGCAATAATAATCATGATTCATTCGATTTGTAACGAGTCATATTTTGTAAAATTTAATTACAAACATTGTTTTCCTCTTCCATTTTCGCCTAAAATCAACTCTTGAAAAGATACATATTTAAATAGGAAGAAAAATATGACATTTTTTGAATTTTTTTAACTTATTGTGTTGCCAAAAGTTTTTTTTATGCGCATAGAAAAATTTTCATTTCTAGTGATATTTGAAAGCCAAAAAGCCAAAAATCTCCGTGGATATACGATTCACTCACCCAAACCAAAACAGATACCGCCTAGTATATTATTATTATTATTATTATTATTATTCATATTCCACTTTGTATTGGCCCGTACGGAAATTTCAAGAAGTTCCACGTGTACACTTGAAGGTAAATACGAATTCCTGGACAGCGCTATTCGCCGCGCTTCCTCAAAAATCAATCCCGTTTATGGAGAGTAAATAGAGCGGCTACCCACCTGGATGGAACGAACGCCACACCAGCCGTATGCGCTCGGGTGGTTGGGCTAGGCCGGCCAACAGCCGACGCCGGCTGAAAGCAACGGGGATTAAGCCTGAAAGCTGAAAACTGAAAAGAGCGGGACGGGCGCTTTTTTCGCCCGCTTCGTGAATAGAGCGGAGCAGCAGCCAAAGGTCGGGGTATGAAATATTCAATAAGCTTATCAAAGTATAAGAGATGGCGCGTTTGGAAATGAAAACACACCGTTTGTTGAATCAGGTGGGAGTTTTATGAAAAAAGAAAGGGAGGCGGAAATGTAAGGGCGAGGTTCGAACTTGATCTGAATTTTATTTATTTCTTAAAATAGTTGCCATAGAGATCGACGTAAGAGAGTGATACACACAGTGGGCAAGTCTTTAAAAAACCCAACTTTTACGGGAATATTTGATATTCATGTCCATTTATAAAGAAATTACAGCAACAAGTATCCGTCTTGGTACACTTCCAAAATTATAAAGTACATACAGGGTGGGCCACCAGTAACGCCTCTGGTGGCTAGGGACCAAACGGCAAATGTTATAGAAACCTGTTTAGGTGGGTTGATCACGGCTACATTTTAAAAATATTTTGAAATATACAGGGTGTCCAGGAGAAGCGTACCATACCAAAGTTATGTATTTTAAAATGGAACATCCTGTATTTTACTGCATTTTTGAAAGCACCATAAAAAAATAGGTGAACTTTATTAAAGGTTCTGAAAATAGAATTTTCTGCTCCTTCCATTTCTGGATAAAACAAAAGGGGTTTCCATTTGAAATTCGGAAGTTGACCTCCAAATGACCTCTAAGTTTGACCTCTGGGTCAAATCGAAGGTCATTATCGTACGGCCCCCTTAAAACCTTACAACTTATATTCTGAAGGTTATTCGGGGTGATCGATTAAAATGGGACACGGTGTATATAATAAATTTTTTGGCTCAAAAAGTTGAAGCAATATTTATTCACAAGGCGAGGTTATAGTAATTAAAATAGGGGGATCCCATTAGATTAGCAAAGTAATGGGAAAACTTAGTTTCAAATTTCATTCTCTTATCTTTAATGGTTCTAGAGATGTTTGGAGAAAACAACTTTCAAAGAATCACCTTTATAATATTATATAGCCGTAACTCCTTCCTTCTGCTATGTCCACTCTTCCTTTTATTTTTAGTTGTCAATTTTCTTGGTGAGCAAAATAAAATGATTTTTTCAAAATTGAATAATATTTTAGTTTTTGTAAAAATCGAGTTTAATTATTATTAAAGAAAATTTTAAGCCCAACCCCGTTCCTAAAGATGTGGCGGCCTATGAATTATGAGTATTTTACAAAAACGCTTTTTTTCAAAAAAAAATATTNTTGCATATAATAGTGTAATTATTATTAAAGAAAATTTTAAGCCCTAATGCCTATGAATTATGGGATTTTACAAAAACACTTTAAAAAAAAAAACTCGATTTTTGCAAAAACTATAAAATATTATTCAATTTAAAAAAAATCATTTTATTTTGCTTACCAAGCGCTATCCTTTCACCAAGTTTCATACAAAAATATTTATTTTTGAAAGCGTTTTTTCTGCAATAACTACTTAATTTATTTATCGATCAAAACCGGTTTAGGCTTATTCGATCCGTATTAAAAATTCCTTAAACTTTTGTCTGAAACATTTTTTCTAAATTGATGTTTCTTTTATAAATGGAAAAAAAGGTTTTTTGCGGACTTTGGACGCCATTTTGAAAATGAAGCCCAAAAATACAGGTGGATTAAAGTAGTTCATTGAATTCTACGGAATTTTTATCTAGATGGATTCGAAACATTTTCCGATGCGCTTACAGCGTCTAGCGTTTTAATTTTTCAGCTGAATCTCCTGCGCTTAATAAAAATCCAACCCACCGCATACTTCAACTAAAATATAAAGTATCTATTCCAACTGCAGCAGTACTAAGCTTTAGGTTGCTATAATTACTGGTATACTCAACGAAAATTTATTCAATGCATCTTGAAATCACTATTGTGTATTTTGAGGTCGTTTTGAGAAATTTTGTTTTATTCCGAAAATGTTTTCCCTCAAAACGCGTTCACAATACATGGAAATCGATATACGAGTAGATCTAAAAATTAGTAAACCGTTGCCGAAACTTCTAAAAACTAAATATTCGAAATTCCTAAAAATTTAGAAATACCTTGAATATTTTAAAATATCTAGAAGTGCTGTGGTTATCAACAAGTCATCTAGCACAAGAATAATCTTAGTACCTACCTGCATCTTTTCGGCGTAGTACACCAAGCTGGCGAAAACGACTATGCCCAGTATGAGGAAGAACACCAGCAGACCCAGTTCCTTGGCCGAAGCCTTGAACGTGTGTATAAGGATCTTCAATCCCGGAGAATGCCTCGTTAACTTGAACAGTCGCAGGATCCTGATTATGCTGAAGAAATCCAGCAGTTGGGACTTCTTCTCGAATATCAGGATCATGTCAATGTAAAAGCTTAGCGTGGCTGTAAAGTCTATGATGTTCACTGGGGATCTGAGGAACTCGATTATGTTTGGAGCAACCTGGAAAGAAACAGGAAAGGGGATCTTAATAACACAGGCACAAAAAATGAAAAAGTTGCTAACCTAGAGATCACTGGACCATCTATTATGTATTTTGACGCGCTGAACCGAAATCAGTCATTAGTTTTGCTATGACCGATAGAAATAACTCATTTAGAGGGAATAAAAAACCAAATTGTTACCTAGACTTTTATAAGTGGAAATGGTAAAGGGGCTTATAATAAACGGGGAAAAAAATAAATGCGTGAGCAGGGGTGGCGGAGGGTTGATTTGGGGGGTTGAAAAGTTGTGAAAAATTGTATCATTGGGATTTCTAGCGAAAGTTGACGTCAAACAAAAAGTATCCAATACAAAAGTTGTAGATCACGCAAAAGTCTACAACTTTTTTAGTGACCACTTTTTAAGATAACCTTAAAATTTCCGAGAAAAATGCGAAAACTGGTTTTTCTCTTATTTTTCGTTTTTTATCTCTCATTTCCATAACAATAATTTAATTTTAACGAAACTTGGTGAAAGTGTACCTTTCCGCGTCTTAAATAACCACAATTTTTTTTAGATAAAAAAATCAAGAAGTTTCCGAGATATTAATTTTTTTCGGTCTGAAACACTTTTTTTTTTCAAAGAAAAATTCTACTTAGAAATATCATCGTACAGAGTTCTATCGGTGATCATTTCGTTCGTTTTGACATACAGGGTGTCTCTCGGTAACGGCCCATTAGAATTATTTCAGAGACTACTTCGATTTGAATTTTGAAAATTTGGGATACCGGATTTTCGGGCATGCCCTTCTCATCTAACGTACCAACTAAATAACTGGGGACAGTTTAGTTGTTTGTTTTGAAGTTTTGCTAAAAAATCCACAGCTATCCTCGCAAGAAATTACATGATTTTAAGTGATATCACAAAAAATTATAAGTTAAAAACTAGAACTGATAGGAGTAGGGAACCCTGATACCGTTCGAAAAAGAATAAAATTGTGTATTAGAATATAGAAAAACATACAGAGTGTTCTACTTAAAAAGCCGACTTATGAAGGATTGAAATTAACTAAACTCGTTATTAAATTTCTAGCACCCTGTATGCAATTAAGCCACTTTGAAAGTATGGATGGAAATCTTAGGGGTCTAGCTATCCCCCCTATAAATATTGTTGCTTTTTCTTTCTTACTATAAAATACACATGGTTTGAAGCTAGTCACTGTTTCTCTCCATTTTTTTGAAAAAAAAATTAGATATCTCGAAAACGGTTAATTTTAGGAATAGGAAACCTTTATAAAAGTTCACCTAAAATAACACGTAGAATCCAATATTGCAATAATATACAGGGTGATTCACAACTTATCCAAAAAAATTTGGGAATAGATGCAGCATGAAAAATGGAATCAATATCGTAAAAAAATTTTTTGTAAAATCCTTATAGTTTCCGAGAAAAAAAATATTTAAGTTATAGAACATTCAACCACTACATAGCTGGACAACTGTAGTCTCTAGCGTCATTCGCCACGTGGCCTCAGCGACTCCGAATACTGAATTCGGATTTTGCAATCGTCGTTGCGATATTTACTTGTTATCTGTGGTGATTACAACAGGTTTTTAGTAGTTAGTGTCAAAAATGGGTAGTTTTTGTCAAAAATGGTTTGCGTGTACTCAGAGTTGATGGATATCGTTTTAATTTATGGTGAAGCATTTGTGTTATGGTGAAACAAGACAACATTTGTGTTAGTTCGTAGAAACTGAGTACAACGGACCCAAATGTGTTTACACATTGGTGGATAAAATTTTGAACAATTGTTGTAACATCGGGTATGTCAAATGATTTTATTATTTAAAAACACAAATTAATTTTATTCATTAATAAAGGCAAAAGCAGTTGAATTTGCCGATATAAAATAGGTATAACCGGAAGCGGTACGTGGACGCAATTATTTTAGTTGAGAAGGGCATGCTCGAAAACCCGGTATCCCAAATTTTGAAAATCCAAATCGAAGTACTCTCTGAAATAATTCTAATGGGCCGTCACCTTGAGACACCCTGTATGTATGTTTTCAGAAACGAAAATTGAATAATTCCAAATATTTCGAATTTTCACCCCCAAGAATGGCGGTGACCAACATTTTTAACATTAAGACGATGATTCGCATTATATTAGCTATGTCCTCTCCAAATTTGGTTTAATGCAACTCTCTCGGTTTCGAGAATACAATACCTATGTATTTATTTAGAAAAATGTGCCACCGATACCCTGTATCTCCGCCACTGGAGCATGTAAATTTTAAAAAAGCCCTCAGATTTTAGATAATATTTACGTAAATACATGTGTCCAATTTTAAATTATTTCACTTACTAGTTTTTAAATTATTTAAAAAAATTAAAGATATATTTTGAAGTTTAACACACTGTATCTTTTTAACGTAGCGTCATAGATAAAAACTTTATAGGAAAAAGAATATTAGATTTCATTTTTGGTCACCATTAGTGATTAATCACCCTGTATGGAAACCAGGAAACTTAACCAGTGTCAGATTTGTGAGATAAAAACTTTATAGTAAAGACTCCCCTTAAAATTCACCAAAGAATACGAGATTTCATTTTTGGTCACCATTAGTGATTAATCACCCTGTATAGAAACCAGGAAACTTAACCAGTGTCAGATTTGTGTTCAGCGCATCGAGATACAATAGAATAAGACTTGGATTGATCCAAATATCTTTCTTCATTCAATGCAAATTTGTATTTGTGGTTTTCTAGCTATTTGTCGTATTTTATTGACCATTTTTTTTTTTCAAATAACTTGGTAACGGAAGGCCAGGAACACTAACTAGTGTCTAGCAGATTAAAATATACATTAGGACTTTATTCAGTCCAAACATTTTTTTTTCAAAACTTCATTTTGTCGGTCATTAGACTAGATTTTTCAGAATTTTCAGCCATTTTCAGCAATTGATTCAAAGCCTGTGGACGCTAAGGTAAAACTAACAAAGGATTCCGATTAAGCGAGTCTCATACATATGGATAGCCTAGTGGGGCCTTAAGATCAGTTTACTTTCTTTACTTTGCCTGCCTGTGTAATAATTATAATTATGTGGTAAATTTATTTGAACCAGTTCTATACCAAAAAAGTAAAAATTCATGAAACCAAACAATATTTCTCTTACATTATTCCCTCGATTGTCTCAACTAGCAACGCCTCCCTAGACATATACAGTGTGGTAAAAAAGTTCTGCATAAAATTCATATTTTCGTTAAACATTTTTTTTTTTCGAAAAACGGTAAGACCCATCGATTTTTATTTGATCCTGGGCACCTTGTTATGTGGAAAATTTTTTTCGATAATCCACTTACGGCAGCGATGACATAATTGTTTTTAAATGACAACGCATATTTTTTTCGTTCGAAATTGATGACAGTGATAATTATCTAAACAACGGTGTGAAAATTTCGATGTCTTACATAACAATTTTTTTTAGAAAAATGCACCTTAAGTTCTTATAAGTGATAATTGTCTACTTACACTATTAATGGCTCCGAAAAGGACAAAGTTGACAAAATTACATTTCAAACGAGTAAAATTACACTAATGTTTGTGTAAGTCTAGCGAAATTGTTCGAATTGCCCACCCTGTACCATTTGGCATTGTCCTAAGCGTGTGTAAACGCCGTCTACACTTCGTTCAAGCATTCCCGGGTCGATTTGATTTATTTCAAAACGAATACGGTTTTTAAGTTCTTCCAAATCACCTGGTCTGTTTGTGTACACACGCGATTTCAAATAGCCCCACAAAAAAAAGTCTAGAGGTGTTAAATCAGGCGAACGCGGAGGCCACTCGATTGTTCCGCGTCGCCCGATCCACCGGCCAGTAAACGTGTTATTCAAGTACTCCCGTACTTGCACTCCATAATGGGGCGGTGCACCATCCTGCTGAAACCAAATTCTTTCCTCAGGAATATCAGGATCCTCGTTGTTCGGGAATAACTCTGCTAAGCTTGGGACCAAATCGAACCGCAGGAAATCCAAATAGCGAGCAGCAGTTAAATTTTCCTCGAAAAAATACGGGCCTAAAATACGACGCCCTATTATTCCCGCCCAAACGTTCACCTTTCGGGGGTGCTGATGATCTACTTCTTGCACCCAGTGCGGGTTTTCCTGAGACCAATACCGGCAGTTATGTCGATGCACCGATCCATTAAGATAAAAAGTAGCCTCGTCAGAAAAAATTATGTTCTTGAGGAAGTCGGGGTCTCCGTTACATCGATGCATTAAATCTTCACAAAAGTGGAGACGGCGGTCTGGGTCGTCCTCAGTCAATGCATGTATCAAGTGACCCTTATAGGGGTGAAATTTCTCTTTTTTGAGAAAGTTCACCACAGTTACATGTGAAATATCATTGTTCAATGCAATCGACCTTGTACTAGAATGAGGGTTGTCCTGGAGCTCCACCAGGATATTCAATCTAGTTTCATCATCTACTCTAGGACGACCCGCACGAGGAGCATCTTTCACACTACCAGTTTCCTCAAACCTTGCCAGTACCCTACTAACCGTAGATTGCGTAATTGGTGGTCTGTCAGGGTACGTTGCATTAAATAATTGGCAAGCTTCTTGATGGGTTCGTAACTTATCGCCGAAACCAATCATCCTCAAAATATCAATTCTTTCGCGTTCACTAAGTTTTGCCATTTCGAATTAAACGATTTCACCAAAGAATGTTAAATCGGTACTGATTTTTAGTCTTCAATATTTCAGGTAATCTACTCCTTTCAAGTAAACATTTCTTTGGATCTTTTTTTTTTGAGGAATTTATCGGCAAACTCGAAGACAAAAAGTCGACCTTAATTTGCTACATACTATTTGGATTTTGTGCGGTTGAACTTGGTTCTAAATTTTGCAGTTTAATCAGGATCCTGACAATATCTGATGAATAATTCCGCAAATATTACATAACACCAGTTGCAACTTAAGTTATCTGAAATGCTTTCTGCCGAATAAATTTTTTTCTAAGGC